CAAAATACAATAACAAAATGAAATATCAATGCTAACATCATTACAGAATACGTATTTTCGATATTGTCGACAAATCTACAAAAATAGAAAAATTTTAAACGATTATCGCATTGAGTCAATAAGACACTATATATATTCAGAGATACATATTTCTAAATATTAATCTAAACATAAAATAAACAGATTATCATTTATAATATCTAATACATTTCTAATTGAATATTTCAAATAAATAAAGTGTACAAAATTAATGTAATTATTACATTATGTAATTGTTATATATGCTAATAAGAAAACTCTAATTAAATAAGTTCTATAACTGCCAATCTGCCTGAGAATAAAACGTAATAAAGTTTTCAATGAATATGATCACCGAATTGAAAAATAAAGAGAAAACGTACATATCTCATTCCACACATATTAAAGATTAATCTATTATTAATTTGCTATAATAAATATAAATGAAGATAAAAAATTTTAACATCTAAAGATTAAGACGGACTTGTAGAAAATATATTCAATAATGCTTCTAAATTAATTACATTAAATGTTCTAGCATAATAAAAATTCATACCTGATAAGACGTAAATGGGTTTCTATGATGTTGTTCAAAACTTCATTGAAATTTTTGCATGAAATCAAATCAGTTAATCGACATCTAAAGTTTTCTAATTGGCCACAAATGTGAAGAATTATTAAAATTAGAAAAATATCTACACATATGTAAATGATAGCTGCTAAGAAGGTTGTAAAGCTATGAATAAAAAATGTCAATTCAAATTGCGGACTCTTATCTGTATTGTAAAAATAATAAGTCTTCAACGGTAACGGTTTATTTACACTCGTGAAATTCGTTATTACGTATATTACTGGAATGCCAAAACAAGGTGGAATGATTACTGCGAGAACCGCTATTACCATGAAAACATATCCAATTATCATAATTAATCGTGCTATTTGTGCTTGTTTTATCATCACATTTCTTTCTTTATCTTGTTTAAATGCTATCCAATCTTCCGCCATCATATTTACAATTGACAGTACAACTTAAAAATATAAATAACTATAGATAAAACATAAGCATTGCTAAAGGCGTTAAAATAGTGAATTATTCGGACATATGTTACTATTTGTAAACTACTATTCATCAAAGAAAAAAATATATACATATTTTATTATTTATTTTCATGTACGTTGATATGTAAAAGTAAATCATACATAATTCTTGTTTTCTTCTATTATAATCCACAATACATTTCTATCAACAATACATTATAATTATTTGTCATATGACAATTTAACAAAGTGATGGAATATAACACTAAATATTTTATTTTATATAATTCTGGACATACCCGTTTGTTTCCGACGCATAATGATGTATCTGACTGATATTATCAGTTGCGGTAACATTGTATGTAAATTATCTATTACATGTACCATATTACCCCAAACTTCTATAACCGCATATATCATCGGAACATTAGAAATAAATATTAATAAAATAAAAATGATGCCGACCCAAATTTCGGACCACAAACTTTTCTCAGTGCATTTGTTAAGTTTAGGCCATAAGCCCACCATTTCAAATCCAAAACGATGTAGATTAACAGCCCACAAAAAATCTAATAATTTTTATACGATATAAGCGATTTGAATAAAATAATTGCAAATTAACTTTTAAATTATTAAATGTTTATACGGAACAAAAGTTAATGATACTGAAATATCTCTCAAGAATATATTTACAATACAAAATTATAAAAATTTGTTTACTGTATACATTAAATGCGACCAATAATGTAGGATGCAATTAGTACCTTTGTATCCTGGAGATTTTGTAATATCCATGTCGAAAACTAGAACATCAAGAAGATCTCGTTCTTTTCAAGGTTTGATGCAGAATGATTATTACGCATGCTCTCCATACAAATGTAAAAACTCAGCACCCTTGTTAAATGCGGATAACGTGGTATTAAATATTAAGAATGGATCTCTAACTACTGATATTGTAAGAAAATGTCATAAACGTTCAATTTATAAAGGGCATTTATGCCCAGTTTAATAAAATATGAGAAAATATTGCATCACATCGTAAGTTTGCCGAATACACTTGAACAATTTTTTTATGTTGCATATTGCTCCATTATATATGCATTTACTGTAAAACTCCATTACATTTTTAATACGACATTCTATAGTAAAAATTATATAAAAAAAGAGATAATATAAAATTGCATGTTACGCATATCTTCAAATATCTCTTTTAAAGACTTATCGATTGTTACAGCAAACGTAAGAGAATATAATATCATTTCTACGTTATAAATATATTGTAATTCATTATTCACAATTCCATTTCCAATGATAAAATTTCGATGCCTTATAACAGCAATTTTTTTATAATGTGTGTTGCTTTCAATGATCTGGCATCTCTTTTTGCTGTGAGACCAATTTTGTTTTAACATTTTTCTGTTCATCAAAGATAAAATAGCACTTCTAAAAATTAATGTAAGTGATAAAACTGACACAGATGCACTAACGTATAGTTAGTATCAATAAAACTATATACACATATATACATTGAAAAAAAATTTCTGAATGTAAGTAATTTGTTTCTTAAATAATTCTAAGTAAACATTTTTTTACTGCAAGTAAATACTTTTAAAAGTAATATATGTTTACATTTAATAAATATTTGCTTGCAGTAAAGAAATGTTTACTTGGAATTATCCAAGAAATAAATTACTTAGATTTAGAAAACATTTTTTCAGTGTATATACAGAGTGAGGAAAAAATACCGAGATCCCGAAATATCTCGAAAGATATAAGTTTCATGGAAAACTGAATTTACTTTAACACAAGAACCCGGACCGAAAGATTTTTTTCGATTTGGTTCCCGTGTTCCGGTTTAATAAAATATCAAATAAATGTTTCGGTTTCAGTTTCGGTTTTTTTTTCAGTAAAGAAAACCGAATCCGTAAAAATTATGGTTTTTCAATGATTTTTTTCGGTTTTACTTATTTGCTTTATTGCATTTATTTTTTAAATTTGTTCTATTAAGAAGAAGAAGAAGGAGGAGAGGGAGAAGAGAGAGAGAGAGAGAGAGAGAGAGAGAAAGAGAGAGAGAGAAAACGTGTTCACCCGTTCTAGAGAACCTAGTCGAAAAGAGGCAAATTGATCACATGACTTTGAATAAAAATTATCTAAATATTATTTTAGGGATATTTCTCTCAATCCTTTCTTACAACTTATTTGATTCTTATGGATAAATCTCACTTATTACATAAAGTCTACATATGTATTCTTGAATTTCATGACTTAAAATAAATTCTTGCAACATGTTGGTGAGGAATAATTACATAAAAAAATACTAGTATTTTAAAACAAGTTTATATTAAATATGTCTCGCGATCTCACCAGATTTCTTATATCATATGAGGTATTGGAAATATTTACATTGTGATTGTTAAGAGAGCTGGCGATAGTAATACTGGATTGAATATTGGTGATTTAAACGAAGGAATGGGCAGAAAGATTGAGAACAAAGATAAAGAAAAAATTAAGAACTGAAAAAAACCGAAAAAGAACCAAAACAAAACCCATAAAATTTTACCAGTTCGGTTATGATTTCGGTATTATAAATCATACAAAATTTAGGTACAGTTTCGATTTCGATGTACTAAAAAAAAAGGGTTCCGAAACGGTTTTCGGTTTCAATTTTGGTTCGGTCTAGGTCTTTGCTTTAACAACCTCAATATCAATAAAAATAAATATTTCATCATAAAAAAGACACAATTTAATATACTTTTACTTAATTTTTATAAATAAATTATTGAAAGGAATTATAAATCTCTCTGTTTTGTCACAGAAATACGTAAATTAGTCTATTAACGTAATTAATTAAAAATTACTATAATAATGATGATCTTCCAGGTCTTTCACAAAACGTGATTGTACAATACATTAACACTTTCCATTATTAATATATAATTACGTTTTATTATAAACAATCAAATAAATAAATGATAATTTTTAGATAACTTATTAAATTGAGAGATAAACAGAAAATACATGCTGTATTTAATTCCATACGCATTAAAGATTACTATCTTTGTTACAATAAAAGAACTGTAAATAAAAAATTTTATTATTTAAAGTTTAAAATGTTTACGCGAAAATTTTTAATAATGTTTCTGAATTAATTTTATTAAATATTCTAGTGTTATATTAAAAATTCATACCTGATAAGACGTAGATGGGTTCCTACGATGTTGTTTAAAACTTTATTAAAATTTTTGCATAAAATTAAGTTAATTAATCGATATCTAAAATTTTCTAACTGACCACAAATATGAAGAATCATTAGTACTAGAAGAATATCTACGGACATGTAAATGGTAGTTAATAACAAGGACGTTATGATATGAATGAAAAATGTCAACTCAAATTGAGGACTCTTATTTATGTCGTAGAAATCGTATGTTGCCAACGGTAAAAATTGTCGTCGATCCGTGGAATTCGTTATGTGTATTACTTGAATGCCGAAGGAAGGATAATGAATGTGAAAGACTCTATTATTATAAAAACATATCCAATCATCATAATTAATCGCGCTGTTTGTGCTCGTTTTATCATCACATCTCTTTTTCTATCCAGCTTAAAAGCCATCCAATCTTCTGCCATCATATTT